AAGACCACTGGATGACTTGGTGGGGACGGAGGAGGCACATGCGGAACTGCCATCAGAGGAGACAAGGCAGGCTGTACGGGAGCTGTGCCTGCGGAGCTGTGGAGGACTGGGTCAGGAGCAGAGTGAACGGTTACAGGACCTGCTGGAGGCCTACATTGACATTTTTGCTGCTAAGGATGAGGAGTGTACTCGCACTAATCTGGTACAGCACGACATCGACACTGGAGAAATGAGACCCATCCGTCTACGGCCCCACCGTCTGCCTTTTTCAAGGCGGGCCGTGGCAGAGAAGAAGATCGAAGAGATGCTAAAGGCTGATGTCATAGAGCCCTCCAATAGCCCTTGGGCCGCACCGGTAGTGCTGGTGGGAAAGAAAGACAAAGACTGGCGGTTCTGTGTTGACTACCGACGACTGAATGAAAACACCTGCAAGGACTCCTACCCCCTCCCACGCATTGACGATACGCTGGACTACATTGCTGGGTCCAGTTGGTTCAGTTCCCTCGACCTTCGCAGCGGCTATTGGCAAGTGGAACTGTCTCCAGAAGCTCGCCCAAAGACAGCATTCACCATTGGGCAGGGACTGTGGCAATTTAAGGTGATGCCTTTTGGTCTCTGCAATGCTCCAGCTACCTTTGAACGCCTCATGGAAAGGGTGTTGGCCCATATTCCACGAAGCCGCTGTGCGGTCTACCTGGATGACCTTCTGGTGCACGCAGACAGTTTTGAGGCTGCCCTGGCCAACCTCCAGGAAGTGTTTGATGCCATTCGCCAGGCTAACCTGCGACTTCACCCACGGAAGTGTTACCTGCTCTGGAGAGAGACCACCTTTGTGGGCCACGTCATCAGTGCAGCCAGAGTATCCACAGACCCGGACAAGGTCAGTACAGTGAGGAATTGGCCAGAGCCTCGGGACACTAAGGAGCTGCGTAGCTTCTTGGGGCTAGCCTCCTATTACCGGAGATTTGTGAAGGACTTTGCCACTCTCGCCAGCCCCCTACATCGGCTGACCCAAAAGGGACAAACATTCCACTGGGATGAAGACTGTGGTGCTGCCTTCTCTGCACTCAGGATGGCACTGGTGGGGGCCCCAGTACTGCAGTATCCTGACCCAAACCAACCCTTCATTCTGGATACTGATGCCAGTGATAGAGGCATTGGAGCAGTGCTCTCACAAGGGGGAGAGACAGGAGAACGGGTTGTTGCTTATTACAGCCGCACCCTCAGCCGGGCAGAAAGGAACTATTGTGTCACCCGGCGGGAGCTGCTGGCTGTTGTCCAGGGGGTTTGACACTTCTGCCACTACCTCTATGGGAGGAAGTTTCTTCTTCGCACTGACCATGCATCCCTGACCTGGTTGCTGAATTTCAAAGAGCCAGAGGGGCAACTAGCACGGTGGTTAGAGGCACTGCAGGATTACAACTTCCAAATCGTTCACCGGGCTGGTCGGCTTCATGGCAATGCTGATGCCCTGTCCTGCCGGCTGTGTGCAATAGGAATTGACTGTAAGCAGTGTCAACAGGTGGAAGGACGTGGGTCAATGGGCCCCCAGACCGTGGCTCTACAAGTCGTCAGCAAAAACCCACAAACTCCTAGGTGTTTCAGGGTGACCGAAGGGTCTGTGGATGGTGTGGAAGTTATGGGGGCCGAACAACTCCAGGAGGAACAAGATCAGGACCCTGTCCTTGCTCGGATCAAGCAGTGGGTGGAGGCTGGCCAGCGGCCCACATGGGAGGTGATAGCAGCTCTAGATCCAGAGACTAAGGCACTGTACTCCCAGTGGTCCACCATTTGCTGCCGCAGTGGGCTCCTTTATCGACAGTGGCAAGCTCCAGCAGCACAGCATGACGTTCTTCAATTGCTGGTGCCCAAACAGTTGCGGGCCAAGGTGCTCCAGATGGTCCATGGCTCTGTGGGGGCAGGTCACTTTGGAGTCGCTAAGACGCTACAATGTCTCCGGTCGAGATTCCATTGGCCCGGCTGCCGCCAAGATGTGGAGCTCCATGTCCATTGTTGTGATGCTTGCACAGCAAAGAAAGGGCCAACCCAGCGCTCACATGCCCCCTTGCAGCAGTACCAGGTGGGTGCTCCAATGGAACGAGTGGGTGTGGATGTACTGGGCCCATTTCCTGTGACGGAAAGAGGGAACCGCTACATCCTAGTTGCCATGGACTATTTCACTAAGTGGCCGGAGGCATATGCCATCCCCGACCAGAGCGCTGCCACCACGGCTGAAAGACTGGTGAGTGAGATGCTCTGTCGGTTCGGTGCTCCCGAGGAGCTGCACAGTGATCAGGGCCGGAACTTTGAGGCGGAGGTGTTTGGTGAGGTCTGCCGGAGGCTTGGCATCAAGAAGACACGAACCACGCCACTTCACCCTCAAAGCGATGGGCTGGTTGAGCGGTTCAACCGGACCTTGTCCACCCAGCTGGCTATTCTGGTGGATAAACAGCACCATGACCGGGATCTACACCTGCCTGTCATCTTGTGGGCTTACCGGACAGCGGTCCAGGAGTCCACTCACTGCACCCCTGCCTTGCTGATGTTTGGCCATGAACTACGCACCCCAGTGGACTTGGTGTTTGGACCACCCCCGGAATGGAGCAACCTGTTGGGTCAGGGCTGAGCTACTTCTGTGATTTAAAGCAGCGTCTACGGGTTGCTCATGAACTGGCTTGGGAGTGCCTAACTGCAGCCGGACTCAAGCAGAAGCGGGCCTATGATTCGCGCTGCCAGGGGAGGAACTTCGAGCCTGGGGACAAGGTTTGGGTGTTTTGCCCTGAACGAAAAAAAGGACTGTCTCCAAAGCTCACCAGTCAGTGGGCTGGGCCATCTGTGGTGATTCACAGACTTTCTGATGTGGTGTACCGGGTGCGGCTGCGCAAGAGGGGCCGGCTGGTGGTTCTTCACCGGGACCGCTTGGCCCCATACCAGCCAAGCAAGCCTGCGGTTGGCGAGCTGGAGACTGACCCTCCGCCAGTGGTTTCTCCTACGCCTCAAGTTGTCCAGGGTGAGTCCCGGCGCGCTAACCCCAGACAACGGCGCCTTCCTGCGCGGTTTAGAGACTTTATAGTTAATCCATAATGGACTAAAAGTTCTGTTGTTGTTCAATGTTGTGGTTCATTTCACATAGGCATTCCTGGTTGCTGGGGACAGCTAACCGTCTGAGGGGGGGGGCAATGTAGCGGTTAAAGGGTGCTGTTATGTTATGTGTTTTTCCCATGAGGCTTAGCGGCAGAGAAGAGGGCCGAACCGTGAGCGAAAAGGCCATCTGTCCGAATGAAAAGACCTGTGTGTTCCGCCATTAAAAGTGTGAATGTTCTGACTATACGACTCCGTGTGTGTCTTCATTGAGCCTTCAACGGAGGTTACAATATGAACACTGATCTGAAGTATGTTTCATCACTTGGATGAAACATTTAAACTGAAATTCTTTGAATTATAAAATACTATCATTGTGTAAAGAGAACTGAATGAGTATTTGCATGAGTTTAACTAATGTAATGTAAACTCATTTTACTGCAGTAATTGGAAAGACGTGTACATGTGGAATTGATCATTCAGGCCTGTTTTATACAGGCCAGGTACTGTTTCAGATTCCCATTCCAGGATTCTGGATCTAGGTTCAGTTCTAGATCGTCTGGTTACCATAGCGTCCAGACTGGCGAGTTAACCTAAACAGCGGATCACAGAAACATCACATCCTATCAACTTCTTCCAACAATCTTCACTCTGGACTGGACCACAAAGAAGGGAACTGGATTATCTTTTTGTTTTTCATTATTTCATTCATCCCCAGCAAGAAATTGGTTGAACTCCTTGACAAAGGAAAACATTCTGGACTTCAACTGTTTTGAATAACCTGTATGTATATATTGTAAATATTACATTTCACTAGTTTTGCACCATTTGGTTGTCTGTGTGTTTACAAATTCCCACTTCCTCCAGCAGTCCAACCTAATCTAAGAATTATTCTGATTTGATTTAACTTTGATTATTTACTTAATCATTCTAATTTTCCTGAATGTATATGTTACACATGGATACAGAGTCGCTGTCACTGTGCAGTGCAGCGGATCTAGCTCATCATGCAGGGCCGATCCAAGGTTGAATGAGGCTTTGTGCAGAATTTGATTTAGGGGCCCCATCAGCACCACTAACAGCATTTCACCATGGATTTGGATAAATATACGACAGGAGCTTTGTTTAATTGGCCAACCTTAAAAGCAATCAGTGATAATTGTATTTTACTGAGATGTATCTGTGAACAAATAGACTTGAAACTTAAAGTTCAAACTGACAGCATCAGGTTGTAGCTATGGCAACAGCAATCTAACTATGAAGATTGTTCTTTGAACTTTTACATAGTAAACTTGCCCACTAGTTAAAGTACAAAATTTAAATGTTAATTAAAAATATTTTATGTATGCTGAAACCATTAAATCCAATTTAGCAGCAGGCATATTTTCAATTAACAAATGTTACACATCTATAAATGTGGTCTATGTTAAAATTAGCAGTTATGGGGCCTCTGAAGGCCTTGCACCTTTGTTAATTCACAAAATTTCAACTTACTTTGTTGTTTCCAACTCTCTTTGTAGTTTTTCTCTCTGGCCTTTTCTCATGAATTCTGTAGCCACAGGACCTGCCTCAAATCGTCCTGATGTTTCATGAAGCGATGATAAACTAGTAGATAGCTCCTCTGCTGATACCACAGGAACTTCTTGAACTAAAACTGGGCTTCTGCCAGCAGCTTCTTCACATCTGCCTGACCTTGGACAGTCAATATCTTCATGAATGGTGCCAAAACCTGTTGGAGCATTTGGGTGAGGATGAAACACAAAAGCCTGTTTGTTTAAATATTAAAAAGCTCCACAACCAGTTTTATAACATTGAAATCACTAGTCTGTATGAAATAAAGAAAAAAATATTGCAACTTTTCACACCTTCGCTGTGGTCCAGCATGAGGGTTTGTTCAATCTCTGCGTAGGTATGTGAAGATGTCTCCTCTTCAGCAGATTTGTTTATCTTGGTTTCAATAAGATGAACAATGTCCATCCGGTTGATCTTTGTCAACCTCTTTATAAGTGTTGATTCTGCTGAAACACCAAAAAAAAGACAATTCAAAAATAAAATAACTCTGAAAAAGAAGAAATTTGGATCTTTCCTATTCAGTTGAAACAAGATATTTACACCTACTGTGTAAAACTACACAGAACTATTTTCCTCAGACATTCAATCAGAAAAAGATTTTTCTGTTTCAGATCAGTTACAATTACCAAAATAATTTGTACTTGCCACATGCCAAAACAGTGAGAGATAATTATTAGAATTAAAATAGAAGTCTAAAAAGTACATACAAAGTGTATGTAGATGTGTTTTTTGTTTGTTTGTTTGTTTTTTTTTACTTTATTTTTAAAGAGATTTTTATACAGGGCAAGCCATAACAATAACAATAAGGAAAGATACAAATAAAATACAAATAAATAAAATAAAATATCACAACCAGGACAATACACGGCACTCAAAAAAAACAGAGGTCACCAAGGGAGGGAGACGGCTACAACATACAAAAAGATAAAACTAAAATGACAGATAACTGATAAACGGGTTACAGTGTATGTAAAGTTCTGTGAAGAGTCAGACAGGTGGGAGTTTCTTTCCATATTTACCAAATCCTGCCAGGCTACTCAACACCTGACCCCTCTTATCACACCTGATGATGAAATAATCGTGCTCAATTTACTCTCGAGTTCCTATATGTTAATCATTTCAACCAATATTTTTTAATTTTGTTTTCCTGAAGTCTTATGCAGAAGGTGAGCATTTCCAATTCCCAAATTTCTTCAACGATCGCTGACCAGTCTCTCAATGTCGGTGAGGTCCTACTAAGCCACTTTCTTGTAATTGATTTTTTCCCTGCCATCAGTAGTATTTTCAACAGGTACTTATCCTGAGTGTTGAGTTCTTTTGGTAGATTACTTAAATATATAGTTTTAAAGTTGTGTTCAATTTCAAAACCAAGAATTACACTTATCTCTTTGGATACCTTTGACCAATAGGAATAAATCAATGGGCAGTCCCAGAAAATATGAAAGTGGTCAGCCATCACATTATTACATCGTCTCCAACAAAGCCCAGATTCAGCTCTGCCGGTCTGGGAAAATGTTCTTTTGGGGGTAATGGAAAACCTAACAATATTCTTCCAAGAAAATTCCCTCCAACATCCTGAGCTAGTGGTGGTGGAGTTAATTTATGTATGTAGATGTGTTTGAACGTACAATTGTTTACAAAAGCTTGAAGAAAACTACGACTAATAAGATGGTTTCAAACATTACTGTTATGATTCTGGCCCGTCTGCCCTCTCTGTTTTCCTCCTCAGCTCTCCCTCTCTACAATTAAGCTCATCTTCTTCTTGATTTTAATGGCGGGTGACATCCAACGTTAAGATGCATTATCGCCATCTACTGTGCTTCAGTGTGGGCCAGAGTATTTTCCTTTTTTAACCTAACCTAAATTCTTATACACAATATTGTTTCCTTTAAAAATGTAATAACTCCTTCTGCAATCAAACTCATCTGATCCACCTGCATGCTGCTGTGTAATCAGGCTCATGTTATGCACCTGTTCCAGGTGGTCGCACAACTTAGCGTGGGTGGAACACACTACGAGACTAGCACCACTAGTCTTTCACCCCTATACATCGTCCAGGGATTCCAGCTGGTGTTTGGTTTGAAGCCAAAGTTCCCTCTGCTCATGCTGTTACTATGAAGTGTCAACGAGTCTGTAGAAAAATCATGACCAGAATGTTGGTGGTGCAATCCAGGACCGCCAACTGCCACCGTGTTTTTGGTGGGCTCCTGTTCTCCATAAACCTTTCATTGCATCACTTTTGTATTTTGACTGAAATTTCAGGTCATCAGTTTTGACTGTTAAAATTATACTTAAGGTTCAAAATGGTGCAAATTTAAAGGCCTGAAGATGCATCACGCTTCTCAGTGCAATGCTGCTAGGCAAAATAAACTTTCAGCCTGGTATATACATATACTGTACGAAAAGACACAACTGGATATTCTTTTAAGCTTGAGGGAGATTAATTCAAAATCAGTGGAAAGGGTGTATTTAAGACAACACCTCCAACACACTAACCCTATATAGTTACTTAGTCTTTGGTAGAATTAACTTTTTAAGTGGTATGAATTGGGCCAAATGTTTTGGATGCCCTATCATAAGTTGCTCATAACTGAATAGCCGGAAATCCAACCCATTCCTCCTGGCCTTTGAAATGCTGACTTTGATGTCAAGCTTAAACTTCCCCAATATCTTGAGAGGTTCCTTCATGAAACCATCTATTTCGTGAAGTGCAATAATGTAATTCAACAGATAAATTTGGACTGCTCTTGAGGTTTCTTGAAATCGGACTGAAAGATCCACAGTATTCTTCCTGATATCCGGACTACTTTCCATATCACACAAGGGGTTAGGGCTAGAATTTTAGCAAACAAAACAATGACAAAGTGCCTTTTTATACAGTTCATCTGGTTTCAGCTCAGTGCTGGAAATATTGACCTGAGGTACTGTGTCCTTCTGTCACAGTCCAAAGGTTCAGAAGGGCATGGCTTTGATCTTGCAGAGAGTTTGGGTTTTCAGTTCTTATCAGGTTGATTTTCTCCTCACTGAAGTCCAATTCTCGTGCTAACTCTGTTGGTAGGGAAGAAGATAAGTTAAATTCAATCTGTGGTTCCAAGAACAAAGCATCCAGATTTTCTTTTAATAAGAAAGAATATACATTTTGAAAGTTTTAGCTTGACGTGTGCTATATAGTGTGACTCACCAGTCCAACTGAAGCCCAGGTGATCAGCTATAATGGCCAACCGTTGCTCATTTCTTTCTGCTTCATCCTGTGGATCTACTGCAAACATCACCAGACATTCATGAACGGTCAAAGTCACAAGATAAATTACATTAACAAACATGATCTAAAAAGGGTTCACTGGCTTTCTTTTTTCAATTCAAGTTACCAGTTTGGCTTCCTAAGGGCTTTTAAAAAAATTTTTTTTTTTTTTTTTTTTTTTTCCAAAAATGAACTTAATGTTTGTTTCCAATTTTCTAGTAAGTAAAATATTTTTCAGTGGTTTTATAAAGCCTTTAGATCAGTCTTGAGATGTTCAAAATACATAGAAGGAAAGAGAGATGGCAATACATAGACAATAGATCTCCAGTAACACAGTAACAAGGGATCTTCAGCTACAACGGGACAAAACTACAAGAGACAGAGAGGCAGCACCTTTACAGCTAGAGCACTAATGAGGTAGAAGAGATAGAGAATAGCCCCTGTAACTGGGGGATACCTTGACTTTGGACTTTATCATCTGGAATTCGCTGCATCTGTGTCTCAACAGGGTCGTCCCACAGTGGTCTAATGGGAAAGACGTCTCCTGAGGGTGGGAACCGCAGATCTGGGAAAGGTTCTCTTTCAATAATGGATGGATCAATAAGACTGCTCTCGTCATCTGAGAGAGCAGTCACAGCTTCTTCATCTTTATCTGTCTCAGCCTGTGCCAACCTTGCCACGACTTTTGCTGCTTCATCACTGATCTCTTCAAAGAACTCAATAGTCTGTTTCTGTAGTTTGCTTTTTGGTTTAGTGGATGTTGTTGAATGAGATGAATGAGTAGTTTTTCCACGGACTGGCAACCTGGACTGAAAACCTTTAGATCTTGCAGACTCAACGCTCGCGGGACAATCCTGCTCCTTTTTAATAGATGATCTGGTAGACTCCCCCTCACAGAAGCTTTTGGCTTTAGAAGATTGTGTTTTAGTTTTAAAATCCACAGAAGGACCTGCATCTGTCTCAGATTTTCTCCTAGTACCCTTTTTTACAGGAACTTTAAGCTTTTTCTCTTGAGCGGATTCCACATGTTTGGCATGAGAATCAGGTTTGGCAGAGCTAGCCTTGATAGGTATCCTGGATTTAGAGTCTAAAGTAAAGTAGGTGTCTTTTTTAACAGCTGTTGGGGGGGTTGATACATGAGAGGGTGAGGGAATTATAGACTTTGCTCGACTCTGTGGAACAGACCTAGCTTGTGCTTTGGCTGTGCTTTGTATCTTTTTACCATTTTGGGAAGTACCTTTAAGTGGCTGCTTGCCTGTTGTTTTGTGGGCTTCTACCACTGACTTTGTTTCTTCTGGGGAGGAATCAGAGGACTCTTGGCCTTGCTCAGAGTAAACCGATCTAGTTACAGTAGTTTCTGCAGTCTGTACATTTGTTATTGGTTGTTCAGTTGTTTCTAAATCTAATGATCCTTCACTTATGTTATTTTCTGTTTTAGTCTCAAGAGGTTCAGGGCATACCAGATCTTTCTTTGAAGTTTTGGTAGAAGCTGAAATGCCCATTTTAGGGATTTTAGACTTAGATGTATCAGCTTTACAGCCTAACTGATCTCCCTCAGATGGGGACTGAAGCTGTGAATCAGTAATATCTTTTAATATTACATCTTCCCCAATTTTAAGCTCCAGTGTTAAATTGAGACCTACTGCTGATTCTCCAGCTGATCTATTTTCTTGCCTGCGCTCATTTACGGTAGGCTCCTCTAAAAACTGGTCACCTATCTGAAAAAAAGCAAAGCCACCCCCCTCTTCCTCATAGCTTCTCTTAGTCATATCAATCGCACCACTCCGTGTCATTTCAAAGAGCTTCCCTTCCTGGAAAAGAAAAGGGTTGGGCTCACTGGTAGGAGTGCTCTCTTCTGTTGGTGTTCTACCAGGTGTGGTATCTGGAGTTGCTTGCACAGACTGACGGTCCATCACCAGATTCAGGATCTTCTGTTCTTCGTCTTTTACACGTGCTGCAAAAGTGACATCATCTTCTCGCATGGCAGACCATGACTCAGTCTCCACTCTTGCAGTTACTCCTTTTGATTCAGTTCTAGGAAGATTTGATGCCTCATTATCTTCTTCACCATCATTGTAGATAAAGACCTCATATTTTGTTTGACTTGTAGCAACTTCAGGACAAAGCCCAGCTTTTGGTCCTCCTGCATGACCCCATCTATCCTCTTTCACCTCATCTGTTACATTGCAATTTGGTTTTTGCATACCTGTCTGTACCTTGCTAACATCTAACATATGACCTCTATTATCTACATTATCACTTGACCTTTTCAAACTCTCCCGTTTTTGTTCATCTGTCCTGTTTTCAATGCTTGAAGTTGCTGATGTGTTACAAACATGGTTAACAGCTTTAGTAGATGATGGGACTTCTTCCCATGAAGTTTTCAGATTGGATTTTGAATGATGCTGGTCTGAGACAGAATGAGATCCCTCTGAAGTGACAGTGGCTGATGTATTCTTGACCTCTTTGCTCTGGGTTCCATCATGCACACCTGCTGAAAAAGGAGAGGGAGGTTGTACTTTAATATCTGGACCAATAAAATTAGCTATTTTTGAATCTTCTGTGTGTCTATTGAGTTGACATTCACTTTGCGAAAGCTTTTCACGGCTGGGCTGTAATGTTTCACAACTGTTATCCCCTGTCTTGTCATCTCCTGAGAAAAACAGATCTTTGCTAAACCTCCTGTTGCTCTTTGGGTCTTGTTCCATTTGATTAAATGTTTTTATTTTGGTAGCCATCTTAAACATTTCCTCCTCTGGAGTGATTTTTTTCTTAGCTTCATAGTTGTATGTTGCATCATCCTCTGCTGGGTCTTCAGGGATGGCAGCCGGTTTGAATGAAATGCACAGGAATGCATTATCAAGGAGTCTGGGGTTTACCTCATAACTTACCTCTTCAGAACTAGGTGTATCAGGGGAGAGGAGACTCTTACCCGAACTTGTCATCTGAGATGTCTGCTCACAACTGTCATCATCAGCACTAGGTTCAAGGTCTCCAAGCAGCCTAACATGAAAAACATCTTGGGGGAGGTCTTTAGCCTTAGAGGATGATGTGTGGTTAGACGATTTATTAGCATTGCGTACTGGTAGGAATGATGGGTGGCTTTTTTGCTGTACAGGACTGCTCTCCAGGGAATCACGAGGGGATGATTCTGTGGTTGGACTGGGCTCAATAGAGTCTGGGGATTTATGGGAAGAATTTTCTTCAATCAGAGGGCTACACTCTAGAGAGTCTCTGTGGCTTATTGTCAAAGAGTCATCAGCTAATGGACTGAGGGCATCCGATTCTTGCTTTAATGGTAGGTCAAAGCTTTCATCATACTTACATGGGGATCTAGAGACTGGAGAACCAACTAATGGCAATACTATCTCATCATCAGGGCTATCATCATCACTGAGAAATGTTTCTACAGTTTCTGAAACTCTCTTAATAAGGTTTTGTGGTCTAGTTGGCTTAGATTCAGCCCTCCTAACAGACATTGACTCACTTGTTGTGTGGTCATCTGCAGCCTCGCTGGAAGAGACACGGAGTGTCAATTCTGTAGATACCTGGTCACCAGAAGACCCTACACCAGAGTCTCCAGACTTGTCCTTGTCTGTAAGGTCTTTAACTTTTGTGGAAGTTGATGACAATGTTGTAGTTGACTGTAGTCCAGACGGACTCTCAGGGCTTGTGCCTGAACTGGTCAGTCCCTCATGTTTGTAACGGTCCTTTGAGTTAAGGTGATCTCCAGAACTGCCACTTAGTGATTTGGCCACACCCTCATGTTTACAGTTGTCAGAGCTATTGTCAACACCACCATTTCCAAAGTCCAGTGTTTCAGATGGTTCTGAGTGAGTGCTAGATTTGATTTCTTTATATTTTTCCTGCAAAGTCGTCTGTTTTATGGCATTTTTGGGATCCAACAATACTTCTTGACCTTGTGAGGCATGTGAGGTCATTGCTTTCGTCATAGATTTTGATTGAACAGAATGAGATGGTGTGGCTTTTTCTAATTTTGATGTAGCTGTTTTAACCTCAAATAACCCAGACTTTCTCTTTGAGGGATCCTGTCCTGTCTGGAATGCTTGCATCAGTTCTTTAACTGACATTGTTTCCTCAAGCTTTTCTGATTCAGCTTTTGGGGATTTAGAAAGTTTGGATTTAGATGATTCTTTGGCTTTTGGTGATGATTTACTTATAAAAGGCAAATGGGAGGGTTTGCTTCCAGTGGCTTTTTGGCTCTTTTGCTCAGCCTCAACTTTTTGTTGTAAGGCTTTGACTTTGTCCTTTATTGATCCTATAGGGGTTTCTTCAATAACTGGGGACACAGGTGATGCAGAAGCGGAAGCTGTTGGTACGCTAAGAAGAGCTCCTGCCTCTGTTAATCCCTCTGCCTGCTCCTGATCTTTCCCCTTCCTTCTAACTGGTTTTTTAACATCAGCAGTTATGCTTCTTTCATGGGATTTGACTTGAGCGGACGGTCTTGCACTTTTCCGTAGTACAACATCAGTGAATTTTTCTTGGACACCTGTATCCTTTTTAGTCTTTACTTTGGCGCTCACTGGTGCATCCAGGAGGTATTCTTTAAGGTCACCACTGCTCTTGATGGCTTTTGGTCTAGGAGCCCCTCTCTTAGCCTTACTGTCACGCAAGATGGGTTCCTGAACTCCTAGGCCAGCCATTTTTTTTGCCTCTTCTATTTCAGAGTCTGAGAGAAGTACCCACTCTTCAGCTATTCTAGTTGTGTTAGCTGCCTCCTCTCCCACCTCACCCTCATATGTTCCACTTCTCAGTATCTCACTGACTTTCTCAAGGTCCTCCTTGACTTTCTCCAAGTCCTTTTCCATTATTTCTAAAGGTTCTCCAGAAACTTCCTCTGTCCCCTTCTCTGGACCACACCTTCCTAAGGAAGGGGATTTCTCTGTCGAGTCTGCGGTCAAGATGGCAGTCATTTTGATCAAATCCTGTTTCATCTCTGACACGTCGGACAGAAGATCTGGTTCTCGAATCAGCTCAGATTTCAGGACTGAAGTCTCCGTCTCTTCATCTTCCATTTGGAAGAAGATCAAGTAAGGAGTAAAGAAAAGCAAAAATTCAAATGAAAGGAGACAAACATTGGAGAAGGTGGTCAGGATAAGATTGGAACAGGCTGCAGGGATCATAGGACATTATATTCACAATGGGTTCTACAGTAGGTATCAGAGGAATTAGGCTTATACTTTCTCATGTTTCAGAAAATTATGATTGAGCTAATTCCAACAAAAACAAAACAAACAAACAAAAAAAAAACAATGAGAAAGGATATGAGCAGGAAATAACTTGCTTAAGCTGTCACACCCACACTCACAAGACCAGACCATTAAGCAAAACAAAATATGCCAAGTATAAGGAAGAGCCTATCAGTCAATATGTACAACATAAAAATGGACAACACAAGACATAATGATGCTGAAGGATCTCAAGATTGCTCAGAAGTAGGACATATGTCATGTGATGATGGACAAAATGGCTTTTAAAAAAAGAAAACAATTGACTGCTGAAGAAAGCCAGTGAAATGCTACTGATGACGATTATCATGTTAATGTTAATTTATTATAAAGCACTTTAAAACAGCTATAAACTGCACCAATGTATTCTTAAAACATGCTTGATCCTTTAGGAATATAAAAATCTGCAACAATGTTTAAAAGAATCACGAGAAAATACATTAATGAGCGACTTCTAAATAAAAAGACAAAAACCTAACTGAAGAAATGAGTTCTCAGTAATGATATAGAAATAAACATTCATACACACACATACACACAAAGTAATGTTAGGCAAGTTATTTCCATGCAAAACAAAGGGAAGTGCAAAGGGTGAGGACATGGAAGGGTGTAAATGCAAAACCAAGCAAAACCACAATTTTGCTTGTGGTTTGTTTAGAAAAACCCTCCATCTGTCAATATGTGCACATGCATGCAGTACTATGTAATTCCTGAGCATTAAGTATGCTTCACGTGTAACATGAATTATGGTTTGAGCTTTAACTATACTAAATACTTAAATGTTTTAGTGTTGGATGGCAAGGCTTGGGAGGTGGTTGGGTGGAGAACTGCTGCTTGATTTACTACAATACCAGCTACAGCAAGCACTACATTAAAAGCATAAATTGTTTTTGGGAGAATTTTAGCTATTTATATTGAACTTATTAAAACAATTATACAAAACAAGATGCACGTGGACCCTTCTTCTAATTTACAAATGCTGCAGAGGGAATATTTTATTAGACCTGCATAAGAACAAATACCATCACAAATACTTCTCTCTGGTCAAAATTGTCCATTAAATGAACAATTTTGAACTCTGAAGTTCAAAATTGAAGGTGAAATTGTTAAACTAATGACAATCGTAAAGGTGAAACTAGGAGAAAAGGCAAGAAAAGTAGCTAAGCCTCAGGAGAAACAGAACGACAACATGGGGATGGGTGGAGAAAGGCTTTGAATTGGAGTGAAAAATTGATGAAGAGTTCATAAAGGCTTGAATTATGAGGAAATAGTCGAGAGCAGGTTGGATGTGTTAATGTATGTTTTTAGTTATTTTTATGTACATTGGACATATTCCTCACACCATTGCTTTGGTTAGAATAATGAGATTAAATTAGACATTACACATCAATAAGTATAAAATGTGTTTTGTGTCCAGAATTTCATTAAGAATAGAATAAATAAAAGGAATAGCTTACATTTCTCAAAGGTTCTGCCGGTCTGAAAGAGAACACATGGCTTACAGTTAGTTTGCTTAGATGACCATGGCTGTGTAAAAAGCACCAACACAACTACTTAGTAAAAACTACACTCAACAGATACTGTACATCACATTCATTAATGTATCTTAAATAAATTCTAATCTTATCAACTATGTCACAAACAAGCTAGTGGAGCGGATGATCAACTGGGAAGAAAGGGGAAGAGGAAGCAGTGGCTGCTTTTACCTGTTCCTCATGCTCTTGTTCTGAATCTGAGTCCTTATGAGAGCAAAAAGTAGCAGGAAGCAGAAGGGAGTGCAGATATAAACACAGGAACAGTAAAGACAGGTGGAAATGCATGCTCAATATAGTAACAAACACAGCCAGCCTGTCACATCTGTCAAACTTCAACTGACAGACATGGATAAAAACACTGATCATGTCTAGTTCAAAGTCTGGACTCTGAACTAGACATGATCTAGTGAACTACAAACACACCATTACTTTCACAACCCTCTGTCTTCATACCTGGAGATGGCGTTGCCTGGTGCAACAGTAATATAATAATGCTGGCAATGATTGTTTGCCACTTGGTATGTTCAAATTTACATATAGTGCCATTTACCCCTTACATATTTCTTCTGCTTTGGCATTTTTGAAAAATCATACTTAAATGTTTTTATATCAAACACAAAAAGCAAGTTTTAAATTATGATTTAATTTTTTAAGGGGAAAAAATGCCAATCCAAAACTTTCCTTTTGTTTATTGATGCCATTCAGAAGGGGACCTGCTGGTCTGGTTTGGATCATTGTTCTGCTGCATAATTCAAGTTTGATTAAGCTAAAGGTCTTGAGCTGTTTGTTGGACATTCTCTTTCGCTGAAGCAACAAAGCAGTCCCAAGCAATTACACCACCACCACCGTGTTTGACTGTCAGTTTGATGGTCTGCTTTTGGAATTCTGTGTTAGTTTTAGGTCAGGAAAGAGTCTGCTGTGCCCCCCCTGGACTGGAAGCTGTTGTTTTTATTTTTACCTCAGAGGGGCCAACCTTCTGTTATTTCTGTCTTGTTTTGATACAGCAGGGGTTCCCACACTTCCCGGGGAAATCTGGGAATGTTCCCCACACATTTCTCAGCTGTTACGTCTGTTTAATCCATTGTTAACATGCCATAAGTTTTTCTGAGTCGCCTTTAAATGGAACATGACCCCTAAGACGCTCGGTCCGGTTTTACAGCTGAGCGGCAGCGATGGAGACCTGCTGCTGCTGCTGTGCAGAAATGGATGTGTGTTAGAATCATGGCAGAAAAAGCAAAGAACTTTGCACAGTTTTTTTCATACACTAATCGAACTAATGCTTTTGGATGCAGATAATGTTAGCTAAATGATGACTAATCCATGACAATATATCATGCTAAGCTTGTTAAAAATAGGCTACTAATTTTGCTGTTAAGTTCAAAAGTGGGTAGAACTGGTTACATTAACATGAGGAACTTTTTGGTACTTATATGAGTAGTTTTACTGCATTATACTTTTTTTCTTTTACTTGAGTAATATTATTATTGCTGCTCTTAAGTAGATTGATTTTGTATACAGAGAAATAAACTTCAGAGATTGGAAACATTAGATTTGTGCAACATATAAGCTAATGTTTATGAAAATTTGGGCATAGTTACTCAACATTTTATACATGTCACTGTTTACAACCTTATTGTTTATTTTATATTAATAAACATGACAATTTTATTTGAAAGGTTACATAAAGGTTTGTTCATGTATTTATATTAAAGTAAAGACTCGTTTAGTGATGGTTCCCATTTTTACTCCCTTTTGGGCTGATAGATGCCATTGGTTCCCGTATTTCCTTCGATGGAGCATTATGTGTTGGCATTTCAGATGTTTTAGCTGACGTCATGCAGGTTCTGCTGATTCTACAGGGCAGATATGAATCAGAGCGGGATGTGGCAAGTGAAACTGGACCAAAGGGAAATCTGGTCATTTACAGATAATTGATTATTTATAATTTATTGATTATCTAACCAAAGATTTATGTTTTTACAAAGGACCAGGTTGAGATGGATAGCATTTTTTCTGTTCTACAGTTATTCAGGTCATCATTGTCATTTGTGTTTTCATACCACTGTTGAACATCAAATAATAATGTAACCTTTGCCATATTATCAGCAAAAATTGCGACAAAATCCAACATTATTAATAAACTGGCTCATTGGATGCCAGTTTTAACACAGGAATGCATAGATGGAGAATAAATTTTTGTAGAGTTCTTACTTTGCTATAAGATGGAAGCGTGATGTTGAGGTTGCATATGGCATTTTGGTGAAGTGACCTGTAGTTCCTAGGTTCCTTCATGAATGACAGTCGACCACATGGCTCCTGGGTGTTGTCTCGGATCTACATAAGCAAGCAGATCACAGAACTGGCTTATGCTTTAATATGTATAAGACCATGTAAATGACATAAAAACAGTTTTATGTTCTGGTGTAATGTAGCAAGGAACCATTCTTACTTTGATGAAGAGTGCTAGCCTGTTCTCCTTAAAGGCATAGAAGCTGAACAGATGATGTTGGCCACTTTTGGTGAGTGGAACCAGGTTTCCAAAACAGTCTGCATATATAGGTTTCCCTTCCAGTACCTGACAAAATTAGTCAGTAGAGTGTGTAAATAGCCCACCAAATCACCTTCCTAAAATAAATGGCCTCTCATTTTTTTGCCAAAAGTTGGGGGGAGGGGGGAGTTGCATCTGTTATCCTTTGGCAGATCCAAAAGTCACTTTTGACAAAAAAGCCATTATTATAGAAAGATGACAGGACACAGCTCTTTATTGTATTTGACTTATCTACTGCCTATGTGAAGGTGCCAATGATGACTTGTGGTGTTCACCATGGACCATGGATTAATTGCAGTCCTTCTTTCTTATAAACCCTCTCACAAGTCAATTTAAGTAAAAAGAAAAAAAAAATGCATTTGTTACTGGTGGTGCCGAGGCTATAAAAAAGCATAGCAAATATGTAACATAAACTAAATAAAGATATCTTGTCGGCTTAATTTTCTCAGTAGTCTGCAATGGCTTCCCACAGTAAGATGCTTTGGTAAATTCCAGGTCCAACCTTCGATCTCACCTCTACATCCCGGCTCCGAGCCACCTCAGTGAAGTTCTCCTGCTGTTCCAGTGTTTTATCAATCTTGTCATCAGTCATGCAAAAACAGCGCAACCGGGCCTCAATTGGGTCATGGGTCTTGGCAAAGATCACAAACTTGGCCATGTAGGGAACGCAGATGATCTCTCGATACACTTGAGTGGAGAAGTTGACAGATTCCTGGACTTGTTGACAGTCTATCAACCAGAACCTTGAAATAAGAAGCAGCAGAAATCAACATGGTGGGAATTCGGACACACAGAATTGAACAAATAACTTGTCATAGACAGGACTCAACATTCTTACCTTGCAGAAACGTTGGTGGTGAAGGAGACACAATCATTAATAAATGTTAATGGTGTTGTCCCTGTTATATCCTCCCACTGTGCAGGTGTTGTTCCTCCTGAACATTGACACAAAATTATTTGCTTAGAGTAAGAAAGGGTCTTAATTAGCACTGCTTAGTTTATCAAAAGTATGCATGAGCATTTTCTGACCAGTTATGCTACAGAGCAGTCGTAATGTGGGCGTGTCCCCTCCAAAGCCATTAAGATTTGGGTCAGAGTTGCTCTTGGGGACAGGGATGGTCATGGTAATGGGTTTATGGAACTTTCTCCTGCGAGGCTCCAGGGTGACAATGGGACTGAAGGAGGCCTTGTTTCCAAGGATCTTTCTCACCACACTTACATTCACTGGCTGCGCCTGTAAAATAAGATGATAAAAAATGAAGAAAACCAGGTGGTTTGGTATCAAAGTGTGACTGCAGGTTCAATGAGTTACCTGAAGTCCAACTCTAATCCTCTTGGTGAGCGCCCCCTCTGGAAAAACTGCCTGCACTTGAGGCACAACAGTACTGCTTAGGATGCCTCCTTCAGGACCAATCAAATTATTGTCCTGCTTGATGCGTGACACCACTGCAAAATATTGGGGGAAGTCTTTTGTAATAATTCTGCAAAGGCGTTTCCTTTCCAGCTCCTCTGGAGGGTCCAGTTCTAAAGGCAGGAGGTGAAACAGGACATGTCAGGACTTCTATGAATGAGGTGCTGCTTGCAAAGTTCAACCCTTAGAAATTAACAGCAATAATTTAGATTATTTAGCCTATTATAACAGAAAAGATTGGGGGTTTATTTTTCAAAGTCATATATTTACTATGTTATTCATTCATTCATTCATAAATGTCACAATTTTAAAGTAAAACTTAATTAAATATTTAGTCAGCAAGCTAAATGTTTAGTTTCAAACTAGTATTTATTTTGGAACTAAATGTGTTTAAATATTCTTGACTATGAATGTAGTTTTTAATTAAATATTTTGTATATTTTGTTTTAAACTCTAGTATATTTAACCTCAACCTAAATATTTAGTTTAAAGCTTCCTTATTTTCAACCAAAATATTTAGTTAAATCTTTAGCTATTATGCAAAGTCACTTGCCGATACGCAGAAGTGGAGTACCAAAATAAAAGCTGCATAAACTCCTGCTGGTGACCGATTCGCTCCCGTCGTAGCTCATGTCATGTCTCTGTTGTTTCTTCTCTCATCAGATCCAACATTTCAGCTTAAAATAGAGGATGAGCCCTTTTGTTGGCAACACAGACGTTTACTAATGGACGCCATGATTTCACCAGCTTTAGAGGTCAACATTTAGCTAAGAGCTAAATATTTAGCTTCAAACTAAATATTTAGCATGTTAGCTGAGTATTTAAATTAAGGCTAAATAATTACTTTAGTTAAACATTTAGTTTGGAGCTAAATGTTTACTTTGTAATCTAAATATTTAGCTTGTTAAATAAATATTTAGTTTTAGTTAACCAATATTTAGTTTGTAAATTAAATATATACAAACCTATGATCTATTTAGTTTGTAAACTAAATAATTTAATTCAATATTTTGTTTGAAATTGTGACATTTATACATTAATGAATAGCATGGTGTAATTCTGATTTTGGAAAATGAACCCCCCCATTTCTTTTTCTTACGACAGGCTAAATAATCCAGATTATTGGTCCTTCACAAACTCCCCATATGTATGATTAAGTTGTATTTTTGTTCCTGCTTGTTTCAGGTCTCTAGCACCCAGACACTGACCCTCATCCATGCCATTCAGAATCCGATTGAGTTCCTCTGGTGTGTATTCACATTGATGCTCCTTCCAGCTCTCTCCTGTCTCACTTCTGAGGATCACCAACTCCCGCTCCTTTCCTCGGAGTGAGGCAAAGTGGGGGATTTCAACAATCACAGGACTAGAGGAGATGAGGGAAGATAAAGTATATCATTCAGATTATGGTCTGATGGAAGATAACGTCGTGCCTGCAAATGTTTGGTGCTTCGGCCTCAGTGAGGCTGAGGTAACTGAAGTTTTATCAATGCAGACGGAATGACTGACTAGTGGAATGGGTTCATTGCTGAAATATTTGAGAATAAACTGCATAAATTCCATTGCAGTGGTAAATATGTGCAATATACAAGAAATCTCAGAGCAGGGATGTAATTTGTTATAGAATTCTTTGACATGTTCAAATTAGTGTCAAACTGGCTAAACTATGTAGCAAAGTGCAAAAGTTACACTGAGCTTTATTGATAGGCATTGCCTTAAGTCACTGTTTATGAATTCTATTGGAATGCAAAGCAGATATTTAATAGCTGAATATTATTACAATATTAGCTGAAGTACTTCTTACACGTTAGCATTTATATAACTGAATTAAGATCAGTTACGATACTTCACTGCCCAAATATATACAAAAGTGAAATATTCCTTCAGCATCTAGAAAGAAAAGACCACAAATATAAAACTAAAAATGCAAGAGCTCATTTTCATGTGAAATGGTTCTTTGGCCTGGCAGTCCTATTTTTTAAATTGACACTGTTGCTGATGAATACATCAAGGGATCTGTCATTAAATGCAATGCTTTCCTACTGTAAACTATATGGATCATGCTGACTCAGTAAAATATGTAGCAAAACATTTTGATACATATTATAAACTGTGCTAAAATGCAGCAAAATAACTCTCTAGTCAGTTCACTGTGGCCAAACAACCATTTCAATTTCACAAACTGATAAAGAGAGCTGCACACTTAGTGACAAAAAGCTAAGTACCCAGACAGAATGGCAAAAATGCAGTGAAACTGACTGAGGGTCATGTGACTGCAGTGGTTACTATATTTTATATATATATATATATATATATATAGGTTATAAATATAACCTATTTTATAACCTCTTCTATTCTGCCACCCTTTATCCCAGTATAAAGGGTGGCAGAACAAGCATATCGATAGTACTATCAGAGTAAAGGCTGTTATTTTCTCCAACAGCATGTTGCAAACAGCTGCTGGAACTGTCCTAATACAAGTTGGGCTGAAAAAAGACAGGGTGACCTCATTGGTTAGATGTTTTTCAGACAGAATATTTTGCTCTTTGGTCATTGTTACGCTCTCTAATGTCGTTCTAGTTGCTCAGATCTGTTCTATACATATGCAAGGTGTGCATGTCCATCAAACTGTGGTTGGCCCATCAGAGTCTTCTATATGCCACTCATACTAAGTTATGTCTAACATCAACCAATCCTTCTGGGTACCTGACTTTTTTGTCCAATGTGGTGGGGATTACAAGTGACAAGAACAGTTTCTATGAAAAAACTAAAGAATAAAGCATAAAGAGGGTAAGGCAAAGCAAGAACAAACAGAAGTGACACATAAAGTGAGGTCCCAGGCATTAGGGAAGGGGTTACAAAATATAAAAAACATGCAGAAATAATATATGAAGTGAAAGGCAGAAACTGAGGCTGGCATCCATAGATTGTTTCCTATGCAATATTCTATGCTTTATGAGGCCTTATCACCCTACCCAAGAAATTTAGTCCCCGGTGGACCAAGCTGAAGGATTCTGCTAACCAAACTCTCTCCCTCATTTAAAGGTGGAGGGGCAGTAGGGAGGTGGAGTTTACTGTGTGATACGCCAAGCATCCATCCGCAGCAGAGTGGAGAAGAAAGCACACAATGTTTTGGTTGAATGGAAAATCTAATTGTTTTGTAAGCATGTGATTATTCTCTCAAGAAAGAAAGAAATACAAAGACACAAAATTTAAAAAGACTATTGAAGGATACAGCATCCTGCACAAAAAAAACATTAACATCTGGACTTGTTACTGCAGTAGCATAATCAACCAGATTTCACTGTGGAAAAATACTATATTATGGGTGTTTTTTTGTTTTTTTTTGGTGTGCCATTTGTAAAGTTGTGTAGTCAAAACTTTACAGCGATAATTTGAGTTTTTTAGCCTATCATAAGGGGAAGAAATAGGGCTCATTTTTCAAGGTCAAAATATTTTGCTCCAAGCCAACTATTTGCCTTATAAAAAAATTGTAATTAGCAAGATAATATTTAGTTTGCCACTAAATGTTTAACTCCAAACAGAATATTTAGCAGCTTAGCTTACTAATTACATATTTAGTTTAAACTCTCATAAATAAGTGTATAACATGGTGAAAATATGACTTTGAAAAATGAATCGCTATTTTTCTCCCTCATGACAGGCTAGATAGCCAACGGTTTGGGGGCTAAATGTTTAGCTGGCTAACTAATCTATGGGTAACACTTTATTTGAAGGGGTGTGCATAAAACTGACATAACACTGTCATAAACATGACATAACACCTGGCAGGACCATAAAGAAGTCTTTATGAATGTTTATGACAGTGTCATGTTAGTCTTATGCACACCCCTTCAAATAAAGTGTTACCCACTTTTCTGTGCAAGGTAAACATCAGTTAGCCTTAAGCTCAATATTTAGCCTGCTAACCAAATATCCAGCTAGCAAGCCAAAATTTAGTTCGACCCTATAAAAATATTGCTTTCAAACTAAATATTAGGCTTCAAACTAAGAATTCACTTTGGAGTTAAACATTTAACTGCAAACTAAATATTTTGTTTCAAACTAAATATTAGCTTGCTAACTAAAATTTTTTATAAGGTAAATAGTTAGCTTGAAGCAAAATATTTTGTTTAGGAAATATTTAGTTAGAAAATGTGACATCTACAAATTAAAGAATGACATTTTGAAAAGCCAATTCAGAATCAAAAATACTTTATTGATCCCGAAGGGAATTTAAATGTTATGCTTCAAAGAGTTTTGATGCCAGGAAAAATCTACTGTAGAGGTCTGTATTACAGGGACTCTGAAGAAGACTCTGACTAAAGACACTGTTCTCTCAAGACAGTCTCGTGAAGAGCATGGTCAAGATTGTCCATAATTTTCTTGATTTTATGAAGAATCCTTCTTTGCATCATCATTTCCAGAGGTTCCACAGTCGTCCCCAGAACAGAACCAGGACAGAACCAGCCTTCTTTATCAGACTCTTGAGCCTTTTTAGGTCCCTGGTTCTGATGCTGCTGCCTCAACAGATGACAGCAGAAGAGATGACGCTCTCAACAACAGACTGATAGATCTGCAGCATCTTGCTGCAAACCTTGAAGGATCTTCGCTTCCTCAAGAAGCTCAGTCTGCTCTGCTCCTTCTTATAGATTCTTCACTGTTGTGTCTCCAGTCCAGTCTGTTGTCAAGGCCAACACTGAGGTATTCATATTCCTCAACCCTTATTTTTTCCCCTTATGAAAGGCTAAGTAACTCAAGTAACTGCTGTTAATTTTTGATGTGAAAGTTTACAAATGGCACAGTATAGTTTTTGATATGTTGCAGAAGTGATTTAATAACTACAGCATTATTGCATTGGTTTGTGTTCCAAGGAACCTAACTGGTATCCATGACTCTGTTATCCTGGGGTGTGAATACGATATGACACAAAGGTCTGCTTATCTTACACACTTGAAAATTGGAAAGACAACAGCACATGCCATTTATTTCTAATGAAATAAATTCTCAGACCTTTAACATATCCTTACCAGGATGGTGCTGTGTAACCATCAACATAATAAAACGTTAATTAGAATATCATATCTGTGCTAGAGAACTTCCAGCTTGTCTGCGCATAAAGGCTAACTGTCCAGTGGATAGCCTAACATTGTAACTTACAGTATATTGTGATATATTCCCACATATTACCATTGGAGGACATAACCAGCCACATATAAAACCAATCATGGTGCACATTTGTAGGTGGAATTCATAAGAAAATCCATAGTTAAGGTTAAGGATTAACAGTTAAAAATAGTTAGACAGGAGCTGTTATGAAATCAAACTGGGCATGCTGGAGAGCAAAGACTGGCAGACCCTGGCACTGGCAGGAAGCAAGGGCAGATACACAAACAGCTGAAGTTAGGCAGAAGCTGGGGAAAATCAGTCTGAAAGAAAGAGGGCAGCAAATCGTAAGTCTCAAGCAATCAAGAATACAGAAGGTCCCCCTACCTTTCTCACACTGTTAATGCATCTTAAAGTGCATATTTAAGGTTCTTTTAAATGGTAGAAAAGTATTTTCTCAGGTCAAACTGTAAATATGGCTGCTGTATTTGGTCTGTAACTAGCTAGCGAAAGTTTTAAAGTATTGAGTCACCAAAAAAGCTCTACTTCTAGAAAAACCGTGTGGTTTGCATGACGTAACTGGAGGAGAACGGAGCCCTGCTGTCTGATTGTTGAGCTCAAGGAGGTTTTGTTTGCTCAGGTGTGCAACTGGTCTGGTCCAGAAGAAATTACAAAATCAGGCTGAAATCCACTGCAGTATCACCATAACAGCAGAAGCAGCGAGGGGAAGACAGAAGATGATGGGGAGAAGAAACAACAACAAACCAGAGTCGCAGCTTTGACCTGGAAGAAGGTGGGTCTGGAGAGAGTTATTCAATTTTCCAGGAATATGAAAATTTTTGACTAATTGTATGTACAAAGGACCCTAGAGAACACTACGGTCCAACACTGTTGTTACGGTTGCTTAGAGACAAACACTACAAAGTCAAAGTGAGCGTCTATCAACCTGCGTCGTTTTAAAATGTACTCCACCATGTCCTTCAAAGCAAAAACTCTTGCAAAAGTACAGATTGAGTGGGAAGACGCCCATCCCAAGCTCAGCAATTTCACTGAGGATGAATACAGGCATAGGCATTAAAAAAATAACTTAAAATATATTGGTGATATTCAGTGGCGCAGTGTGCTGCTGTATAATATCAGACAGAATGGATCAGGAGACCCGTCAGAACCTTAAGAACCAGACATCAGAATTTCTTCATCCCTCAATCATCTCCTGAGGCTGATATAGCACAGAACATTTTGCCATGATGGGTTAAGTTTCTTATTATGCTTTTAGTTGACTGTTATGGTTTGATTATTTACTTAGGATGTTCATCTTGGATGATAGGTTCTCATATGATAGTATAAGCCAAAATAATATAAATGTCAATTTATGGAATAAATCAAACAAATAGATTAACAGTAAATACATAAATATTGTGAAGAGAAACCATTTATTTGTCCTACGTTAAAAAATTTCTTAGGGATTTTGATAGTGATGGTGTGAAAAAATGACTGCTTGGTGGTCAATATTATTTCACTTTTATTAATGTGGTTTCCCAGTTTGGATAACCTGAAAAACATGAAGGAAAAACATGCTGACAAAAATGCACCAGACACAAACGTGCAGCTCAGAGGCTCTTTGGTTCATTTATACATTAAATGATGAAATATTGCCCTGTTTTTTAATTTATTCATTTTTAAATTGCCCCTATGAAAAAACACCGACTACCCCAGCTCCCGTAGTAAATTTGGTCTAGAACCAGCCTCTGAACCTAACTCCTTCTAAATATTTTGGTATTATTTAAAATACCAGAATTTGCACAGAACTTGCTGTCGGCTGTCTGACATGAATTTAAAAATATTAAATCGGTTGTTATGATCAGTTACTCAGTACTTGAGTATTTAACTTTTTACACGTGTTGAAGTTATGCTACTCTGATTGGGCACTCTATGTCATGATCTCAGCTCCACCTTGACTGTGCTGATTACTCATTACCCTCACCTGTGCTGTGCTGCGCCCTATTTAAACAGCTGCTCATCACCAGCTCAGTGCGAGATCGTCTGTTGCCCCAGTCACAGCTTTCAAGCCTCGTCTCATGTTTCAAAATTTTCTGATCCTGCACAGATTTTGCCTTGTCCTTTGGCTGCTGGAGGAGTTCTGACCTACTGTTGATGAACCCTGCCTGACTCTGACCTTGCTTCAAGTTTTTCTGATTTCTGGATCTTCATTGCCTGTGGCCCTCCCGTGAATGAACCTGGATTGTCCCATGACAGCCTCTGGTTTGTGGAATTTGTCCCTGTCATCTGTTTGTCCCCTGAGCCCTCTAGTCCTCCCTTTGCCCATCCACCTTACCCCTCCCTGGCTGGATCCCAGACCCTAGTGGACTTCCTGACCCACCAGCATCACCACTCCCTGCTTAGCCCCTTCTTACCTTTATTTATTTATTTATTTGGTGAACCAACTCTGGTGTTGGCTGCGTTTTGGGTTCTGGCCGATTTCGCTTTTCGTTACACTCTAACCCACATTTGTAATGATTGCACTACTGAGTTTTTGTTTTTACAAAAGAAAAAAAAAACAGCCATAAAATTAAGTCCACCACTTCTGTGGGCAACTCACTGTGGTGAGCATCCTTCATTTTCATATCTGAAAGGTGGCATCCCTGGTTTGTGTGCATGTTGTTTTCCATTTCAATATCTGCTCTTCTACAATTTATATGATCTCTGTTTACTGTGCTGTCAACAGTTCTAGCTTCTGGCTCACCTGTGAGCCTTCAATCTTAAACATGTAGCTGATTTAATGTTCAGGATTAGTCACCTCCTCCAGGTCTTACTCAGTGTTTTTAGCTGCACAGTCCGGAACGTTCTCCTCCATCTATGTCATTAACGGTGGTCACTAGGTGGAGCAGTAAGCAGGATAGGTAGAGTAGGTACCAATACCTTCCATTTTGAAATATGGGCCATTTTTGCACCAAAAACGTAAATTTCGGACCTGTTATGACACAAAGGCTTCAACATGCATTTAAAGTGAAATATGCACTTTAAATGATGAGCACTTCCTGTCATTCCAAGTGTGCTTCCAAGAGTGACAAGCATGATACTACATATTTCTGTAGAATTACTATATTTGTCTGCTGGCACAACTCTTCCAATATTCTGTGTCTACTTTAAGTCTCTACCTGTAGCCTTACCCAAGAAACTGGGCTCCAGATGGCCCCACTTCAATAAGCCTGCTGGCCAGACCCTCGCCCTCCACCATGGGGGGCATGGTGGCCAGACGGTGCCGTTTCACCAGTCGACAGGTGACCCTTGTTGGGGCGCTGCATTTCTTGGGTGGAATAATGATGCGGAGGCCATTATGTCGGCAACCACGCATGGCTCCACCCCTGGCGTCCACCATGAAGCTGACCAGGAAGCTAAAGCGGAACAGGACATTTTTCACAAATGAAAACATATGTCACTGATAGCATTTGGTGATGAGGCCACAGACACCAAAACTAATAGAGTAAGTTGTTTTTGTTAATATCTCAAAGCCCCCTCTCCATTGTCAAGTCTAACTCTATCCAGTTAATATCTGGTTCAGTTCTGGCCAAGCTGAGTGCATCTCCACTGGCAGTGTGTTCCTGTTAGAGGGCGTGAATAAGTGGGAATGTGGGAACATGAGCAAGCTGTGAGCGCATAGGGTTGCTCTGTCCAGTTGATGCTGTGTGCGCTCTTTTGCCACATTTGATAGAAAGATTTGGACCTCAAGGTCTGACCCTGGAATTATCAATATGAAGCAATCTTGCCAAATACTATGGAGTGAAAATAGTGGTTGAGATATTGATGTTTGAAGAGTTTGCAAATATCGCTTTCACTCATATTGTGATGTAAATCCAATGACCAATCAATGAATGCAGTCTACTGCCAATCAAATCGTTTGCACGCAATACCCAGGTTGGCCCGACTTGTTCCAAAAAGCGAGGAGGGTCCCGCAGGATCTAGAAATGGAGACAAATCTGACTGGAGCTGAATGAAGAGGAACCGGCTAAAGTTACACCCAAGGAGAAGGCGCTTAAGTTTTACAAGCTGATAAGAGCATATTTCCCAGGCGAGTCACCATCTGACTCCAACTTTGGAGTCAGATGGTGACTTCAAAAGTCTGTGGAGGAAACTAAAGATTAGGGTGATGGTGAGGAGGTGTTCTAACCCCAGGTCTGAAGTTCATCATCAAAATACCAGAGAACACATACAAAAAGAAGCCCCCTCAGTGGAACTGATTTTTTTAGTAACAATTTCTATGTCATAACAACAAAAACACACAATTTCATTATGAAGTGATTTGTTTTTACAATAATATACATTTGATAATGTATGTAGAAGTCAGTATTTTATGGAGAAAAATAAATAAAATTGCTTTTGGGTAGGTCATGGACACTTCACCAGTAATATGAACTGCCTTGCATCCAAACATCCAAAGCTCTGGTAGAAGATAAGTTAGCAAAACAATATCTCAAAAAAGGGCTTATCCTTCAGGGAGAGAGAAAAGTCTAAGTTAACAGATGAATGAGCTAAATTGCTAAAATACTTTCCTGTTGGAGGTCTTTCTAACAGAAAGATGTTAAAATACTTTCGATTTCTGTGAAATCTCCTCTCTCCAATCAGATAAAAGTCCAGTGCAAAAAGGTTAAATGGTTTTGGCAAATTATATGTGCTGAGGTTGAAAATGTTCAATAAATCGAATGTTCAAAACCAATATCCACATATAAATTTAGAGCAGAGTCTGGTGTCTGTTTTCTCACCACTCATGGAACATAAAGCCTGGGACTCTTTCATGCAAAATGGAATTGGTGCACACATCAAACATTTTAAGTTGGGAGAAACTGGCTGGAATGATGTTCCACATCACAACAACAGATGTTCTATTGATCAACTTAATCCATTGTTTGATTCTGCAACAGAGTTACAAGGCTCAGAATAATGTATCCCCAAAATATGGTGTGATGCTCATTTCGCTGTGAGACACGGCAACATGGAGGCCATGTTAGTGGAAATGCAGACTTCACGAGACAGTGAATGAAATCAGCGGATGTGTCCTCAACCTTCAACGCCTCAGGTTTTTCAGACTTTTGCTGTTTTAACTTGTAGCTTGCCGCCTTATGTGGAGGGGAAATGAAGAGACATGAGGTCTGCAGAACAACACAGGTTTAAAACTTGGAGGTTTTAGTTCGATTCACACAGCTTTCTATACTGTGAGCCTGAGAACATGTGAGGCAATGTTTACTGAGGACAGACACACAAACATGCACCTCTCCAAGAGGAGAACACATGAGTGGAAGAAGAGTGGTGATTATGATGAAGGAAAATGTGATTAAACCAAGATGCAGAGGGTCACCTGCTGTGGTCTCCATGATCATGGCACGGAGAGGAACGGCTAAAAACAACAATCACATTGGGAGGCATTAAAAGTTGAGCAGAATCAGTTTGAAAAAAAAAAAAAAAAACGTGAGAGGAAAATCAGAGCAAGGAAGGAAAATATTGTTGTTATAGAATTAAAAAGCATGTTTTTGGTCTTAATGTGCAAACTAATCTGAAGTGACCCAATTCCAATTTTTTGTCAAATTGGATTTTTTTGGGTGGTTGTTCACACGTCCAAATATAAGATGTTAATGATGAGTCTGAACAACTGTTACCATTAGCAGACGTAAGCGTGGATGCTAATAGTGGAGCATAGCTTACACATTAGAAACTGTTGTCTGACCGGAGCCAGCACAGTAATATTTCTCTCTCTCTCCCTCTCTCTTTCATCCTCTGAGCTCGGGTCCTCTACCAGAGGCCTGGGAGAGCTTGAGGGTCCTCCAGTATCTTGGCTGTGCCTAGAACTGCACATTTCTGGACTGAGATGTCTGATGTTGTTCCTGGGATCTGTTTTAGCCACTGCTCCAGTTTGGGGGTGACTGCCCCGAGGGCCCCGATGACCACAGGCACCACTGTGGTCTTCACCTTCCAGGCCTTCTCCAGTTCCTCTCTGAGGCCCTGGTATTTCTCCAGTTTCTCATGCTCCTTTTTCCTGATGTTGTGGTCACTTGGTATTGCTACATCCACCACAANGTCTGTCTGGATCTGGAAGTCCCACAGGATCTTGGCTCGGTCATTCTCTACCACCTTTGGGGGTGTTCCCCACTTTGACCTCGGGGCTTCCAGTCCGTATTCTGCACAGATGTTCCTGTACACTATGCCTGCCACTTGGTTATGTCGTTCCATGTACGCTTTCCCTGCCAGCATCTTGCACCCTGCTGGACTGCTGGACTGTCTCAGGGGCCTCCTTGCACAACCTACACCTTGGGTCTTGTCTGGTGTGGTAGATCTGAGCTTCTATTGCTCTGGTGTTTAGGGCCTGTTCCTGGGCAGCCAGGATGAGGGCCTCTGTGCTGTCCTTGAGTCCAGCTTTCTCCAGCCATTGGTAGGATTTCCTGGTACCAGCCACTTCAGTTATTTGTCGGTGGTACATCCCATGTAGGGGCTTGTCCTCCCATGTCCACCCTGATGAAAAATGGGCTACTGGAACAAGACGGAAATGGGCGAGAGACGAAAACATGGATCTGTTGGAATGCTACTACTCAAGTAACCCTAATCAGAGAGGCTACATGCAAAGAATGTTGAAGGAATGGTTAGTTCGACATCCCCAGTCTACAATGACTGCTAAACAACTAGTAGCTCAGTGTTCCAACATCCGCAAACGGCAACTGCTATCACAACTTGAGATTGACGAGGTACAACACAAATGCTACGGCAAGGGGTAGGAGCCTGGATGTCAGGACAGGGAGGAGTTAAGTACAAGTCCCCACCCAGAGATTGGGTATGCAGCCACAGTAATGAATGAATCAAAGCTGAACGAGGCAGCAGCTGACCTGAGAGAAAGAATCGTGGCCCGAATAAGCACCAGACAACCCCGACGCCAATTACAACAGCTGAGTGTAGTACCATCAGAAAGTCTCATTGAGGATGTGAATGCAGCATTGAGATCTATCCCTACCAACACCATAACGGAAACTAATGAGCTGATATACAACTCAGCATCAGTGATCCTTGAGCTACTTGGCTATAAGAACGACAATGAGATCCAATACCCACCATGGAAAAGACGGTTAGAGGCAAAAATCAAGGTGACAAGGAGGGAAGTGAGCCAACTGTCAGAGCTCCAAAGAGGTGCAATGAAAAGATCAGTACCTAAGAAGTACAGCCAGATGCCCATACCTGAAGCACTCGAAACTGCCAAACAGAGGCTCCAAGCCTTGGCCAGCCGCCTAAAGAGATACACGAGAGAGAATGAAGCCAGGAGGATTAACCGGCTCTTCTCCACCCAACCAGCTAAAGTGTACTCTCAATGGCAGGGTAATAACAACAGAGCAGACCCACCAAGGCTGGAGACTGAACAATACTGGAAAGGTATGGGAAAGGGAGACGTCCCACAACAGCAATGCACAGTGGCTAACCTCTTTACGAGAGGACCACAGCAACCTCCCTGAACAAGCCCCGGTAACCATCACTGTGGCAAATGTCCAAGAAAGAGTCTCAGGTATGAAAAACTGGACAGCACCAGGGCCTGACATGCCCACTGGCTAAAGAAACTCACTGCCCTCCATGAGCGACTGGCAGCTAAACTGAACCAGCTGCTACAGCATGGGACTCACCCTGAATGGTTAACTGAAGGGCGCACAATCCTGATCCAGAAGGATCCCTCAGAAGTCCCATCCAACTATCGGCCAATAACCTGTCTCTCTACAACATGGAAGCCTGTGTCAGGCATCATAGCGGCTAAGATAAGCGGACACATGGATAAATACATGAGCACGACACAGAAGAAGAGGAGAGTAAATAGTACAGGAGCTAAACACCAACTACTTGTAGACCACACAGTTGCCCGAGATTGATTACAAGAAAGCCTATGACTCAATGCCACACACCTGGATCAAACTCGATTGCAAACTCGATGGGGCTGTGCAGTTGGCTTCAACCACCCTTGAACTGCAAACCACTTGCACAAGTGTCCATCAAATGTGGCATATATCAAGGAGATGCTCTGTCCCCACTGCTGTTCTGCATAGGCCTGAAACCCCTCAGTCAAATCATCAACAAGACTGGCTACGGATACCGAGTCAAGAATGGGGCCACAGTCACCTCCTCTACATGGATGACATCAAGCTGTACGCCAAGAGCGAGCCAGACATTCATTGCAAACTCGATGGGGCTGTGGAAAACCACCCTTGAAGCAAACCGCTTGCACAAGTGTCCATCAAATGTGGCATATACCAAGGAGATGCTCTGTCCCCATAGGCCTGAACCCCCTCAGCCAAATCATCAACAAGACTGGCTACGGATACCGACTCAAGAATGGGGCCACAATCTCTACATGGATGACATCAAGCTGTACGCCAAGAGCGAGCAAGACATCGACTCACTGATCCACACCACCAGGATCTACAGCACTGACATTGGGATGTCATTTGGACTA